GAGGGGCAGCGCCAGGCCATCATGCATATCGACAGTTGCGTCAAGGAGCTGGGCGCGCCGCCGCCCGAGTTCAGTGACACGCGTGCTGGTCAAGACGGGGCCCTTCGGGAGCTCCTCTCCTGCGCCAACCTGTACGGTTCGGGCGCCGCCTCGTCGTCCCCCTACGTCCGCGACCGAGTCGCATGGCCCGCTGAAGGTGCTGCGCCCGTCGAGCTCGTCGGGCTTGTGCAGCCCCATGACAAGGCCTGGCTGGAGGGATGGCAGAGCCATATGCTTCGAGATCGGCAGTCCGCCGAGGCCTTGGCACGTTCGGCCTGCCCACGCGGGCCGTACTGCGACCCGAACCTGTTCCGGGACGCGACTGCCTACGGCCAGTTTTTGATGGAGATGCACCGGAGGCAGATGGTCACCTTCGCGGCCGACAGCAGTCAGCCACACACCGTCGGCCTCTTCTTTGTGCCCAAGAAGTCGGGGGCCCTCAGGATAATTTTCGACACGAGGGCCGCCAACTGCAAGTTTTTGGATCCGCCGGCTACGAGGCTTCCTTCAGCGGCGTCTTTCGGCGCTATCGAAGCCCCGGCGGACGGCATGTACCTCTCCACGTGCGACCTGGAGTGCGCCTTCTACCACATGCGGCTGCCGCGCGGGATGGAGACGCTGTTCACCTTACCGTCGATCTCGGTCGCCGTGTTGCAAGAGCTCGGCCTGATCGACCTTGACTTCGATCCTCTCTCGCGCGTCACGCCCATGGTGACCGTCCTCCCGATGGGCTTCTCGTGGGCTTTGCACTTCTGCCAGTCGGCTGCGCGCGCAGTCCTTGCTGCGGAGGGCCATGAGAGGGCCATGACAGCCATGGGCGGTCAAGCTGGTGTTGTAGTCACCGACCCGGTCTCCGTCGGCGTCGGTGCTTACGTCGACAACATCCTGGCGTTCGGTGCTGAGAAGGGCGCGGTCGACCAGGCTATGACACGGCTGGTGGCCGCCTTCCGCGCCCGAGGGCTTCCTGTCCACGAGATCGAGCCCGCCGCAAAGGACCTGGACTTCCTGGGCCTCAGCTTGAAGCACGGGAGGTACCTCAGGATCAAGCCGCGGAACATCTGGCGGCTGCACTCGGCAATCACTGGGCTGCTGAAGCGTGGCTGGTGCAGCGGCCACATGATGCGAGCAGTGCTGGGCCATGTGACATGGTCGTCCATGATTCGCCGAGAAGTCCTCACTGTGCTCCATAGCGCCTACGGCTTCGTGGCGGCATACGGCGAGAGGCAGGGCAGGATCTGGGCGACGGCGGCGAAGGAGTTAACCATCATCCGTGACCTCCTGCCCGTCTTGTCCGGCGACCTCGCGTCCGCGTGGCACCCCGCGCTAACGGCTAGCGACGCATCGCCCTTCGGACTTGGGGTGATGCGGAGACGCGCGCCTCGCGCCGTCTGCGCCGCCGTCGGCCGCTGCTCGGAGAAGTGGCGATTCAAGGTCGAGGGCGGGCACCAGGCCCGGCTCCGATCACTGCGAGAGGGCGGCTTGGAGCGCCCCAGCGTTGAGTCAGAAAACGTCGACCCCTATCGGCCTCACTCTCCAATCGACCCTTCACAGCTCGGTGTTCATCATGTTAGCCCTGCGGGCGGTCAAGCATGTCCGGCGCCATCGTTTGTCTCGGGAACTACGTGTACCTCTCCGGGCCTGCAGAGGGACCCTTACGAGGAGCTCATGGGCCAGCACGGGGACCCCTACAAGGAGCACGTGGGCCTGCACGTGGACCCCTTCATCTCCAAGGGCCAGCACGGGGACCCCCACGTGGAGCTCATGGTAGGCAACAGCCTCACGCGTGCTGATGCCTCCTACGTCGGGGGCGACTCTTGGGACATGGAGGAGGTTCCTGGGCACCTTACCCGCACGGATGCCTGGAAGTCAGTCTCGGCGCAGTCGGTCTCCACGGGGGCCAACATATTGTACCTGGAGGGGGAGGCTCTGGTCACGTCTTATCGCCATCTCCTCCGAGGTCTTGGCGCTCATGGGGCTCGCATGGTCGCTCTCGTGGACAACCTCCCCTTAGCCCTCGCCTGTGCAAAAGGAAGGGCTCGGTCAAAACATTTGAGGTCGTGCCTGAACCAGCTGTGTGCGTTGTCCTTGGCCACTGGCTCGAAGTTGTTCGTTCGCTGGATCGCCTCGGAGCGTAACCCAGCTGACGGCCTCAGTAGAGGCAAGCTCGGCTGGTTCACCGGCCATCGACACCTTGGCCATGCGAGGACCCGCCCTGGTCGTCGCGGCGCTCGGCCTGCTGTTCGGGCTCCTGGCGCGCGAGGCGCAGGCCATGCCGAGGCAGAGGGCCCCTACGCCTTCAGCCCGGACTCGCCAGCGCGCCCAGCTGGCGGCGGCGGCGGCGCGCGGGCGGCCGCTGGTGGGCGCCCTGACGCTCTTGGAGCAGCTGGCCGTGAGGCCGAACACGGAGGCCATGTACCGCCAGCTCCTGCAGACGTTCATCACGTACTGCTGCGACCACCGCCGGGACTGGAACAACCTGCGCGAGCTGGACCGCCTGCTCGCCGAGTACTTCACCTCTCGCTACATCTCGGGGGCGGCGGCGAGCGTCGGATCGCAGACGGTGGCGGCGCTGGCGCACTTCACGCCGGGTCTCCCCAGGCGGGTGGGCTCGCTCTTGCCCCGCGCCTCACGCGCGATGCAGGCGTGGCGGAGGCGGGCCCCGACACTCACGCGGCTGCCCATCCCGAGGGCGGTCGTGTTCGCGCTGGCGGGCGTCCTGATCGCCTGGCAGCAGGCGCCCATGGCGGCGTGGCTGGCGATTGCGTTCTCGGCTTACCTCAGGCCTGCCGAGGCTCAGCGGCTGACCACGGACAGCATTGTGGAGCCCTCGGCGTCAGCGGGCCCAGCTTATCAGTTCTGGGGCCTGCTCCTCCACCCCGCAGACCGCGGGCAGGCGGGCAAGACGGGCGCCTTCGACGAGTCGATCCTTTTCGACCTCGACCTGTACTTGGTGCCGGTGCTCATGGCGCTCCGCTGTCGGGGGGGCCCGGGCACGCCGCTGTGGAGCTTTTCCCTCGGGGACCTGAACAGGATGTTCATGCTGGCGGCGGCTGCGCTGGGGCTCTCCCATCTGCGTCCCCACCTGTACGGGATGAGGCACGGAGGAGTGAGCGACGACCTCCTGTCCCAGCGGAGGTCGCAGGAGCAGGTTTACCGGCGAGGCCGCTGGGCTGTGCCATCCTCGATGCGGAGGTATGCGAAGGAGACGGCCCTCTTGCGCGAGCTGCAGGGCGTGCATTCGGACGTGTACGTATTCGGCGACCTGGTCGCGGAGAGCTTCGCGCTGCTGATCGAGAAGGGCTTCGCAGGCGCGGGGCTGCAGCGGCGCATTCCGGCCAGCCTGCTGGAGGCGCTCATGGGCGGGCCATCGCAGCCCAGGCGTGTGAGGCGGCGGCCTGCCCGCCGCAGCTGAGCGCTGCCGGCCCTGTCGGCGCCAGCGCTGCCGCCGGCTCGGAGCGTCTTCGGCCGCGGCCGGGCGGCTCCGAGTGCGCCGACCACCTGCGGCGCCGCTTCAAGGCTGCGGTTAGCCGCGGCTCGCTGTGCCGACGTCGGGTGGTGCTGGAGCTGTTCTGCGGCAGTGGCCACTTCTCCGCCGCCACCCGCCGCCTGGGCCTGTCGACGCTCGGCCTGGACCTTCGGCTGTCGCCGCTGGAGGACCACTGCCGCCGCGACTTCGAGCGGGTGGTGACCGGCTGGCTCCGCGGCCGCGCCGTGGCAGCCGTCTTCCTCGGTACGCCCTGTACGACGTGGTCTCGAGCGCTCCGGAAAGCTCTGAGGTCGCGCGCCCATCCGATGGGCATCAGCGGCCTTTCGACATCTGAGATCGCCCGCCTGACTACGGGCAACGCCTCGTTTTACTTCACATGCCGCATCATTCGCTTATGCTGTAAGTTGAACATACCTGTGCTGCTCGAGAACCCTGCCAGTTCTTTAATGTGGCAGGCAAAGCTTCTTTCGTCCCTCATCATTTCCCAGTGTGCTCGTGTGTGTGATTTTGATCAGTGCCAATTCGGAACACCCTGGCAGAAAAGGACCAGGATCGCGGCCTGGAGGACGGGCCCTCTTACCGACCTGCATCGGCTCTGCAAGGGCCGCCGGGGTCTCTGCTCTCGCACTGGAAATCGGCATACCATTCTCACAGGCCAGGCCCCAGAGGGCTGTAAATACACTGCGTTGGCCGCCGCCTATCCCGCAAGTCTGTGCACGGTGTTGGCTAAAATCGTCAGAGAAGCGGTTCTGAAAAAGCCACGGCAAACCATGGCCGATTTAGTATGTAAGCCGCCCGCTAACCACATCTAGCTACCTTCATATTTTTCGGCCTTTGCTGCTAAAGCTACAGGCCATGTCTTCCTTATGGGGTATGGGACCTCATCTGTATGTGCCTCGCCGTCCGTACAATAGGTGGTCAATGCTAGTACCTCTCGTCCGGCAGATATCTGCCGTGCCTGGCTCGTGCTTCACACATATGATGAAATGAAGCGCTCCTGCCCGTCGTCGTCACCGTCGGCGCCGGTCGGGGCTGCGTTTGTCATCTAATAGATCTGGCACTCGTCTAATCAGGGCGGGCTGGACAGTTTTAACAACGTGATGCAGAGCCCTGTGTGAGAGTGCCGCACGTTCGATATGTCAGTTCAAATCCTTCGGTTTTCCGCTGACATATGTGCTCAAGTGCACCCACCCGCATGCCGCCCTCACTTGAATCCATTATAATGCAGTCTCTTTTCTTCTCGGGACCTCATCTGTATGTGCCTCGCCGTCCGTACTATAGGTGGTCAACGCTAGTACCTCTCGTCCGGCAGATATCTGCCGTGCCTGGCTCGTGCTTCACACATATGATGAAAAGAAGCGCTCCTGCCCGTCGTCGTCACCGTCGGCGCCGGTCGGGGCTGCGTTTGTCATCTAATAGATCTGGCACTCGTCTAATCAGGGCGGGCTATATATATGTGTATAAATGGAGCGTTCCAAGCAGGGCCTCGCCTTCGAGGACAGAAGGAGTTGTCATCGTTTCCTCGGCGGAAGGCCGGGGGACGGCGGCGGAAGCAAACCGAGGCCGCCTCCGATGGCGGAAGCCGGCGGAAGAAAAAGATGTGCCCCTAGGAGATGGAAGTGTTTTGGGTTCAGGGTTCCGGGGATCGGCCATGCAGGTATTGATTGTACATCCATGTCCGTATATTGATGTTCACGCATGTGCATTTGTGTAGATGCATATGAGTATACATATATGTATATGTAGATGTGTATGCATGTATGCATGTATGTATGTATATCTGCATGCACGCATGCATGCATGTACGTATGGTTGGGGATATGTATGTATATATATATATATGTATGTTGTTATTTATGCATGTATGCACGTATGTATGTATATGTGCAGGTGTGTATGTAGATGTGTATGTAATGTATTGCATTGTAATGTAATGCGATGCAATGCAATGCCAGGCAATGCAACGCAATGCAATGCAATGGAATGTATGTATGGATGCATGTATGTATGCATGTATGTGTGGATAGCTGTAGATATGTAGATATGTAGGTATGTGTGTATGTGTATGTCTGGATGTGTGTATGTGTGTACATGTGTAGGTGTAGGTGTAGGTGTATGTGTATGTGCATGTGTATGTGTATGTGTATGTGTATGTGCATGTCTGTGTTTGTATGTATGTAGGTAGGTAGGTCGGTAGGTCTGCATGAATGTGTGTATGTATGTTTATTGTGCATGCACATATGTTTATATTTATAGATACCTATATCACCCGTGCGCTCGCAGTGCTCTGGCCCCATCTGGAAGGCCGCTGTAGTCTTCGCCGCCCCCCCCGTGGAGGAGCAGCGCTCCCAGCTCGATGCGCTGCAGCGGCGCCACCTGTGGTGGCACGAGCGCCTTCACAGGCACCGGGCCCACGAGCTGGAGGAGCCCTCCTCCTCCTCCTCCTCCTCCTCCTCCTCCTCCTCCTCCTCCTCCTCCTCCTCCTCCTCCTCCTCCTCCTCCTCCTCCCCCTCCCCGGCTTCGGGACCTACGTACGACGACGACGACGACGACGACGACGATGACGACGACGACGACGACGACGACGACGACGACGACGACGACGACGACGACGACGACGACGACGTCGACGTCGACGACGGAGGAGGAGGAGGAGGAGGAGGAGAGGGAGGAGGAGGAGCCCCTCCCCCTGCCCGATCCACTGCCCCAGGTCTTGCCCATACTGGGCCCAGGAGCGGTGTTATATGCCTCCCTGGCCAAGTCAGGACCCAAAAATCCGAGGATCAGATCTTTTGTTTGAAATCCGGTGTTTTTTTGGGGGTGGGATTTCGGTTTCTCGGGCCTGGGGGGCATCAAAAAGGCCTCGGACGAAAAAAACACCCCAGGGAGGGGGTCGGGACCTCTTGGGCCGCGCATCGAAAAATCATAGCGGCGGATGTCTGGGCATCCACTGGCCAAGGTCTGGCCTATCCTGGACCCAGAAGCGGCGTTCTATGGGGCGTTCCTGAAGTCGGCGGCGAGCGATCGAGGGGGGGAAGTGAGAAGGAGAAGACCTTCTCCGAAGGCGGCGGGACTCCTCAGGGGCACTCGCGCCTTCTGAGAGGTTTTTTGCGTCTTCGGGGAAGGCTCAGAAAACCTCTCAGAAGGCCGGGGGGACTTCCGAGCCTTCTGAGAAGGCCCGCCCCTTCTCATTTCCCCCTCGCTCGCCGCAGAAGGAAGGGCCTTGCCTTCGAGGATCGAAGGAGTTGCCATCTCTTCGGCGGCGGAAGGTCGGCGGAAGGCGGCGTAAGTGAAACGGCGGCGGCTCCGCTGGCGGGAGCCGGCGGAAGCTCGGCGGAACCCGGCGGAAGGAAAAGCCGACCTCCCAAGAGATGACAATTTTTTGGGGTTCAGAGTTTCCGGAACCCGCCATCTTTGAGTAGAGGATCGATTGCAGTACCCGAAAATTGAGTTCATCGTCGAATCTACAGACAAGACGTAGTATGTTGCATGGGTTCGAGGGCACAAACAAGCCTGAGGTAAACTGATTCTGCAGTGGATCCCCCACTCGACACACGCCTTTCTGGCCAAGCCAGGAGGGCGTCAGCACCTCTCCTGGGCCCCCAATGGGCCAGGCCTGGGGCAGGCGGAGTGCATATAGTCAGTGTGCAGATGGGTCATGCCGCCCTGGATCGAGCAGTGGCGGAGCGCGCTGGCTTGCCTACAGGCCCACCAAAGGATGTTCCGAGAGCCTTTTTGTGGTCTGAACGAAATATTATTAGAACATTTCTGGCTGGGACTGTCTTGCTTTAACACACTATACGAACAATGCTCGCGTTCTTAGAACACTTCCGTGTTCGAAGAACATATTGTGGTCTGCGCGAGATGTTCTTAGAACATCTCTGGCTGGGACTGTCTCGTTTCAACACGTCGGGCTTGTGTTCTACGAGCCATGCTGCTGTTCTGAGCACACTTCTGTGCTCGAAGAACATATCGTGGCAGGCCTATAGGAATGCCAGGGCGGTCGGCTCCCGCTCAACTGGAGGAGCGGGGCGTGCCGCACGACCCTGCGGCGATGGACGCGCTGAGGAGCCGGGACGGCTCAACGGCCGTGGCTCGAACCCGCAGATCGGGGCGTTGCTTTTTGGTCGAGCCGGGCGTTTTCGCTGGCCCAGAGATCCGAGTTTGCTTGGGCTTCGACCTCTGGGGCCCGTCATCGGGCCGGGGGGCCATCAAACATGGATCCTGGACGAAGAACACCTCTGGGGGAGGGGTCGGGACCCCTCCGGCCGCGGATTGAAAAAATCATACCGGCGGATGTCTGGGGGCTTTCGGGCCCCGGGGCCCTCGAAGGTCGACGCGGCTCCCAAGAGCGGCGCAGAAGGAGAGATGGGGTCTAAGCTCTGGCTGGGGTTTATGATGTGGCTCATTTTTGTTTGAGCCATGGGGTTTCAGGGAAGCTGTCAGACATGTTCGTCGGCCTCCGGCGCTTCTGCAGCCCCGGGGTGCTCTCCAGCAGCTTCGCCTCGCCGAGAGGAGTCCGGGGGTTGCCTTGATCGTCCCGAGCGGCCGCCAGAGAGCCACGTCACGTCAGGGGCGGCCCTGCCGACCCCGAGCAAACCATCCCCTTCCGCGACGTGCCCCTCGCCTTGCCCCAACTGATGAATGCGGCCGGGCCGGAGGGCAGCTTGAAGGGCGATGATGACGTCACGGAAGGAGGCTACGTGTCGGTTGGGCCGCGCTTGGCTATGGCCCGAAAGCCGCACGAAGAGCATTGGGGGGAAGTCGGCTCAGGGGGAAGGCGTCGGCTCCAATAACCGAACCCACGCATGTCGCCGTCAGGCTTGGGCCTCCCAGATGGGGTCCGGGTAGATCATCGAGGATCAAAGAACCCCGACCCTTCATGACAAAGTGAAGACGTGGCCTCCCTGAGGTCCCCGTTTGGCATGAGGGATACTAGGTGTGGGCGGTTTGGACTGCTACATCTGGAGAAACACAACCTTTTTCGGTCTCCTATTTTAGATCCCCTCTCAAAGGGTTAGGGGGCACTTTGATTACTCATCATTAGATGGGGTCGAAAGATCGCGCCGCATCGCCGATGCATCGGCGATGCGGCTCGATGTGGAGCCCGCTTGGCTTCACGTCGACAGCGCCGATGCACCACCGATGTGTCGTCGATGTGGCGCGATAACGTCGATGTGTCGTCAACTCGGGCATCGTTTTGGAGGCCTATCGTCAGAGGCCTTATAGCCCACCCCGCCCAGGAGCTGGGACGACCTCAACGCCATGGAGCATCGAAACATAACAAATTGCTCAGCATCGTCTAACCTGCGCAGACATGCAGGTGTTTGACAAAAAGCCAGGACGGCGATTTGTGCCTGCTTTTGCCCTCTGGGGGGCCCTTACCGGGCCACGGGACCGTCAACAAAAACGGCTCAAGATGAAAAGCCGGTCCTGGGGAAAGCGTCGAGATCATGTCTGGGAACCTACCTGTTCCCATCCCAGCTGCGCAATTGTATCTCGGCCCCACCGGTCAGCCTTCCTAGGTGGGGACAGGCCACTAGGAACACGAAGAAACAGGTCCCCACCTAGGTGCGTAAGTCTGCCAGCTGTGCCAATGCAATGCCGGTGGGGATTGGGATCGGTCAAACGATGCCGAGCTGCAAACCAGAAGCTCCGTATCTCCACGCAGATGTCTTGGATCGGCGCCAGACCCCCATGGCGGCGTCTCTGGCGCCGCCCCTGGCAACCCACCCTGGCGCGCTCCGCTCGCCAGGGTGGGGTGCCCAGCGCCGATCCAAGATGTCCGCGCGGAGCTCCGAAGGTTTACCTTTGTGCGGATGTTTGCTCGTCCCAGGAGCAGCAGGAGGACCGGTTCCACAACTGCCCGCTGGGCCCAGTGGAGTACGCTTTGACCTCTGGGCGCAGCGCCTCCTCGGCGGGGCGGGACGTCTACTACTTCGTCCTCGAGGAGTGCCAGCCCGTCATTATCACCACCACCACCATCAGCAGCATCATCATCAGCATCATCATCACCATCCGTATCATCACCATCATTGTCATCATCCACAACATCATGGTTCCACCACAACCACCATCACCACCACAAACATCACCGTCACCACCACCAGCTCCATCACCATCACTAACACCAGCATCACCACTAGCTGTCCCAGCAACATCACCATCACATCATCATCGTGATCATGCTCATGCTCATGGCCAGCCCCTCCTCCATCATCATCATCATAATCATCAGAATCATCACCATCACCATCACCATCACTACCACCACCGCCGTCATCGTCATCATCACTGTCATCATCATCATCATCATCAGCATCATCGTCGCTGGCGTCATCATAGTATCAATAAAAAACCACCACAACATTTCACATCACAATCATCCAGAAAACCAAAGCATCATTACCATCACGGCCACCAGCATTACCATCAGCTTCATCCTCATCAGTGCCACGGGCACCATCATCATCATCATCATCATCATCATCAACAGCATCCTCAGCAGCATCATCATCATCCACATCACCATCACCATCACAACCATTATCATCATTACCAGCATCAATATCAATGTCATCATCCTCATCATCGGCATCATCGTCATCCTCTCATCATCCCCCTCCTCCTCATCACCACTCAACGGCTCAATGGCAGGACGTGGTTGTGTTGCTCGAGGTGCCGCGCGGGGTGGCGGCGGCAGGGGCGGCAGAGGAGGTAGACCAGGTGGCGGTCCGACAGGCGGCAGTGGCCGCGCACGAAACCAGCCCAAGGCCTGGGATTGCCAACGGTGCTGCGCCGGGGGGAATTGGGGCACCACGCGCGCATGTCTCAGCTGCAGAGCTGACTGGCGGGGGCAAGGATCTGGAAGCTCGTTGCGAAGCGGCATGTCGCAGGTGGGCGCTAACGAACGCCACGAACTCAACCAGTAGCGGCGGGAGGTTAAACAAAAACCCGAAGCAGGAGGAGACGTATCAGGCAGCGACGTCACAGCAGGTCTAGCTGCCGACGCCCAGCCACATGGCAAGGATGAGCGTGTATGTCGTCTTGGCAAGCTACGAAGCAATATCAAGAAGCTCAACGTCGTGGAAGGTGCGGAAGAGGTCCCTGCCGCCAAGCGTCATGAAGCAGAACGTGTCTACATGGAGCTCGCCGAGTTGAAGCCCGCGCCCGTTCAGCTCAGCGGGCTGAAGCGCAAGCAGAAGAATCCGCAGAGCACGACGGAAGCGCTCGAGCGCAAACCAGTGGCATCACGCGGGAAACCGAGGCGCCCCAGGCCGAGAAGGTCGAGCTCGAGGGCAAACGCGATCAGAGCAAGGTCACCGAGAAGGAGCTCCAGGCCTTCAAGGCAATCTCCTGGTCCAGCATCGCGCGATGGAGCAGCTCGTGGAAGAGGCATCGGCGCGGGGTCAGCGGCGGCGGCGGCTACGCCAGCAGCGGCAGGCGGCGCCCGCGGAGTCAAGTCCCTCAGCGAGGTGCAGCGCGCCTAAACCTTCCCGGCAGCCCTCGACCAAGCGCCCAGCGGACATCTCGGGTTCGGATGCCCCCCGAACCCGAGGGCGGCTTCTGGCCCATCGGGCTGCTCGGTTGGCCCCCTCGGCCCGTGGGGCCGAGCCCGCCAGCCCAGCGCGCGGCTGCGGGATTCCGAGATCGACCCAGGGCTTGCCGGCGCATTCCGGGACAACCGAGGGCGCGCCACCGAGGAACCGAACGGCGGCGGGCGCTTCGGCTTGAAGCTTCGCGCTCTTGAGGGGACAGCGCAGCTGCAGCGCTAATCGACCAGTGGAATGCGCGCGAACTGGTGGACTTGGCCATCATCCAGGATCGGAGCGCCCATGCCAAAACATCCGACTTCCGGACATGGCCCCCGACCTCTGCGCTGGCGTTCGCCGCTTCATGCTAGGCGGCAGCGCCTCGGAGGCCCGCCTTCTCGACGCTGGCCCCGTCGCGGGCTGCTCCGCGCGGGGCGGCTTGGGATGCGCGGACTCATGGTACTCACTGGCGAGTATTCGAGGCTCTGGGGGGGCGCTGGAGTCCAGGGTGGAGATCGCCATCGTGTTTGATGACTGTTGGGTGGGCTGCCACGGCCTCATGACTCAGGTGGCAGCCTAATTACGCGACGCCCGCGACCATTGCGGTGGCGGCGCAGGTTCAGGCCCTGATCTGCAAAGTATCAGAGGCGAGGGGCGAGCTCCTCACCAGCTGAGCGAGCCGCTCCAGTCGCCAAGTACATGGGCGGCGTGGCTTTCCCCGTCGCCGATTCCGCGAAGAACTCGGGGGGGGGGCTACTGCCTCGATGGCCAGGCCTCCGTCGTTCTCGAGACGCGCTGCTCGAAGGCGGCGGCGCAGCTGCAGCGGCTGCGCGCCATCCGCTCCCAGGAGTCGCCAGCCGCAGCGCGGGTCGCCAACGCGGGGTTGCGGCCAGCCACTCGACGCGGCTTCAGCGCGGTCGGTTGGCCCACCCAGCAGCTGACCGAGTGGAGTGGCTGGTCAACGCAGTCCACCGCGGCCGCGGACCGGGAAGAGTTTCAGCCTCAGTTTCGTCGGCGAGCGCCTCCCGAGTGACCCGTTACAGTGCCACGTCGTTCTTTCTTATATAGTTGCATGGGCTAAGGCAGTGCAGTTCCGTCGGCCAGGACTTGCGGGCAATTGGCAGCGCGTTCGCGGGCGCCGTCGCACCGCTTGCCGCTGGGGGGGGGGGGGGGGGGGGGGGGGCGAGGCGCTGGCGGGGCGAGGGCCAGCTGCGGCATGCGTGCTCGCGCGTCACCGCTTGGGCCGACTGTCGGCTCGTCTTGTCTGCTCATCAACGACCAGTTTTTGGAGCTGGACCTGCTCGCGCTCGGCGCCCCCGCTTTGTCGCCGCACATCGCCGCGGCTCACCAGAGGGCGCTTTGGGGAGAGGCGGGCAAGCGCCCAGGCTTCAAACGCATTGCAGGAGGAGGTGCGCCAGCCATCATTAGGCACACCCTCCCCCGCCAGGCGCACTGTTCACCGCGAGCTCGCGGGCAGGCAGGCGGCGATGGAGCCCAGCTCAGCCAGGAAAGCTCTCGTCGGCTGCCTCTGGCCTGCGGCTCGTCGGTCCGAGATGGATCGGCCACTCGCGTCGTCGCCCGGGTGCCCGCGGGGCCGCGGAGCGCGCGGCGCGCCGCGGCTGCTGGCGCGGCAGCGCACGGAGGTCCTACGACGGCGGCGGCGGGGGGCGCCCGCCCGACGACATCCACTTCATAACGACATCGTCGACGCGGCGAGCCTGGGCCCCGCCGTTGGCCAGCCCTGGCCGGCGCGCTCGCGCCCGCGCAATCGGGCGACGCCGCCGCCCGCGGCAGAGCGCGCGGCCATGAAGGACGGCAGGGCAGACCTTGTCGGCATGCCCCTCTCGGGCGACGTCTTCTCCAACGGCGGCGATGAGCTCGTGGGCCTAGTCTCCACTGTAGCGGCTGGACAGTCGTGGCCATGGGGCGCGACGTCGAGGTCGCCCGCCGCTTCGGGCCCCTGCTCTGGCCCTTCCCATCGGGGGTCGGGGACGGCAGAGTTCAGCGCGGCTATCGAGGCCGTTCAGGGCGGCCTGCCTCCCATCAGATTGTTCACCGATCGCCAGGTGCCCGCCGACGGCGTCGCTGCCGGCAAGGCACGGTGCCTGGGCCGGCAGCGGCCCAACAGGGAGCTCTGGGCCCGCCTGCGGGCCGCCATAGAGGACGTGGGCATCGACGACCTCTACTTCCACGAAGCGAAGGCGCGCGCGACCCTGGCGGACGCGCATGCGAATCGCATCGCAGCATGGCAGCGGCGCGGCAAGCATCGCTCTGACGAGCGTTCGCGCCTCCGCCCCAGCAGCGAGGCCCCGCGGAACCGCGGCGCCCGCCAGGGCCGCCACGTCGAGCAGGCATTCCGCTGGCTGGGAGCGGCCGCGCAGCGTGGTAGACGCAGAGTTGGCGGCAGCCGACGGACATGATGGGCCAGGTCTCGACGAGGTTCGCTGCGACTGGAGAGCATGCAAGCTGCGCTGGAGGAGTCGCTGCGGTTTCCCAGAGACTGCCCTCGACGCGCGCCCGGACGCTGCGGCGCCTGGCTGGGCACCGTCGACGGCGACGCGGTCTGGGCGCGCGTCGAGCTCGCGGGTCGCGGCGAGGCCATCTCGGGCTCGCGCGCCGACGGTGGCGAGCGGAGCGCGCTTCCCACTGCGGCGGCGGCGGCGCTTCTGACTGCTGGCGCGGCGCCGCTATCCAGCTGGGCGGGCGCGTCGTCCGCCCCCGCCAGCGAAGGCGACGGCGGCGGGCCAGATGCGGCTAGCGGCGCAGGCCTGAGCAGCAGCAGCCGCGGCAGCGGAGGGCAGTCAGCAGCTTCTGCCCTGCCGCCGCCGCCTCCGCCAGAGCTGCCCCCGTGGTTTGGAGTTGGCACCCGCGAGTCACGCAAGCTTTGGAGGGCTGGCATGCGCCCGCCCCGCGTCAAGCGCGGGCGCCGGACGCAGAGCGCCAGGGCGGCGGGGCTCGCCGAGCCGCGCCCGACGGCGCCCGGAAATGCGAGGTGGAGGTTGAAGCGCGGCCTCCAGCCTGCTGGTTCGGGCTCGATCAGCGACCCCGAGCCTTCGATGCGCCTCCGCAGACGCTCGGGCTAGCAGGCGTCCGCTCCGTTCTTTCACTGCACATTGTGGTGCGCTCAGCGCCTCCCTTTCGGAGGCGCCCACGTAATGCCCCCTGCGCTCAGCGCGCGTGGCCTCGGCTCGGCGCGCGCCGCAATCTGTCCGCGCGACTCGACGGCGTCTCCGCGTCGGAGGTTGCGCTTGTGGGCGGAAGCCGAACCAGGTGTGCAGGCGTCTTCTCCCGCGCGGGATCGGGCACCGATAGCGGCAAATCATCCAGTCCAGTGCGCGGCCAGGTGCCATAGGGACAAGTTGCGCTGCGATTAGCAAGGCTCGTCGCCTACTGCTTTCCACTCCAGCGTGCATGGCATAGGGTCGGCGCATGCTGCGATCTGCCAGCCGCGCCATGCTTGCCGGTGTTTGGCGGAGAACGAACCAGGTGCATTGGCTCGCCGACGCGCGGGATCGGGCCCCGATGGCACTTGCAAAGCAACAAATCCCTCCGACGGGCCAGGAGCCAGGGGATAGTTGCTCTGCTGTTGCCGAGGTGTCTTGCCGCCCGTCAAGTGCGTGCATTGTTCTGGCTGGGTGCGCCGGTGCATGGCCTCGCGTTCGTCGCACTCGTCTCGCCTGTCGCCCAGTGCGCACTGCCAGCCTCCGATGCAGGGAGGCTGAGCCGCGGGCGCGGGTGGCTTGCCACCGACGCTCAGGATCAGGCTCCGCGCCATCGCAGAGCAACGATGTCCAGCTGGTGGCGTCGTGCCGATGGGAATGCGTTGCTCTGCTGTGGCTTCCACATTCCGCGCGTCGCAGGACGCGCGCTCTGCATGCCGCCGCCTGCTTGATTTAGGCGGTAGGCTACAGCCGTGACATGCGCACCGTTCAATGAATTGCGCTGGCGCGTTCCCCGACAGCGCTGGCCGCTCTGCCAATGCCGCTCGGGGCAAGGCAGCGGAGATCGAACCGAGGATGTAGGTGGTGGCGCCGACGCTCTGGACCGCACTCCGCAAGGATCAGCGGCGCAACGATGTCCGCGCGGGTGGCCAGGAGCCGAAAGGGACTGTGCCGCTCGGCTGATGTGCACTGCTAGCTTCTGCTCGGGCCGCGCGCGCGCCACTTGCACTGCAGTTTTGCTGCGTGCCAGCCAGCCTGTCGTTGCACTGGCCGCGTGCCAAGGCGGAGGCTTGACCGAGGGTGTAGGTGGCCCCACCGACACTCTGGTTCGCCCGCGAACGCCATCGCAGAGCAAGGTGTCCATCGAGCGGCCTGGGGCTACAGGGTCTGTGTTGCTCTGTTTTGGTGCGCGTGTGCTATTGGTACGGGCTAAGTCGCCGTGACTGCTCGGATGCTGTGACAACCGCTTGCTTCGGCCGGGGCGTTGGGCGGTTTCTTGGCAGTCAGGTGAATTTGCTAGGGTGCCTTGGGCACGAAACCGTGCGTTGCCGCTGCAGGGCCGAAGGGAAACGCTTCGGTCCCATGGGGCAGTATGAGTTGGGAGCCCCTGGCCTCTATAGACGCGTGGACCATCATCATACCCATCATCAGCACCATCAGCAGCACCAGCATCAGCAGCATCACCTTCATCATCGCCATCGTCATCGTCATCATCCTCGCCACCATCGGCAGCATACTTATTACCAGTATCGTGTATCGTCATCGTCATCGTCATCATCATCAGCATCATCATCGCCACCATATCCACCATGACCATCACCATTTCCGTCCTCGAGGAGAATCAGCCCATCAGGCGCGACAGCATGACTTCTTTCCAGCTGATGCACACCTTGACCCTAGGCCAGGCCGCGAACTTTGTTGAGAGGGCCGCGGCGCAGGCCCAGGCGGCGCTTGGGGGCTCCCACGGCGACGGCAGGGGTGCCGAGGACGCCGCGTCCCTGAGCAGCGACGACAGCGGCAGCGACTCGGCCAGCGAGGGGATCAGCAGCGACGGCTCCTCCTCGGACCATTCCGGGTCGCGGGCCAGCCGGAGGCCGTGGGCGAAAAACATATCCGAGTTCGCGGTTTCGCAGGCTGGGCCCCTAGGCTGCGAGCCTTTTGCTCCCGGGGTGCCCCGCGCGGGACGTACCCGTGCGAGGGCGCCCCCGCGGGATCGCGCCCCGGAGTCCAGACCGCGAGGGCACGGATACGGGCATGTTCGCCGCTCGTGAGAAGGAAGGTAGCTGCGCAGAGGGCCCGGGAGAAGATGCTGCGGACGGCGCGGCTGCCATGGGACGTCCTGTGGATGGTCGGCGGCGAATCGGGGAGGGAACGGAGGGGAGGGCAGGGCGGCGTGTAGGATGAGGTGGGGGAGGAAAAACAGAGCCGAGGAACATCAACAACAAGAACAAATTGCGTGAACACTAGCTTTTGGAGTTCAGTGAGCCCCCGCGGGATCCCTTGGATCATGCGTGGGCCCCCCTGGCGGCGCCTCTGGCGCCGCTCCGCGCCATCCAAGGGTGAGCATCGGTCACGAACTTTGGGAGTTCCGCAGGACTCTCTGGATCGTGCGGTGAGCCCCCTCTGGCGGCGCGTCCAGCGCCGACCGTGGCGCGTTCCGCGCCAGGGTGGGAGGCCCAGCGCATGATGCAAGAAATCCGCGCGGAGCTCTGGCAGCTTATGCTTGTGCAGTATTATTATTATTATTAGTATTATTATTATTATTATGTTTTATTAGTTTTATTATTCTTATTTATTATTATTATTATTATTATTATTAGTATTATTTATTATTTATTATTATTATTAGTATTATTATTATTATTATTATTATTATTATTATATGCTCGTTTTTCTTATTATTATTCTTCCTCCTCCTCCTCCTCCTCCTCCTCCTCCTCCTCCTCCTCCTCCTCCCAGGTTCAGGAGGAGGGGGCAGGGGAAACGGGAGAGCGGAGGTCACCAAAGTGCTGCAGTTGTGCTGGGTGTTCATGGGCACCGTGCAGATGCTTGTGAACGGGGGGTTGCTGCGGAACCCCCGCGTGCTCAAGGCCTTCGGCGAGCAGGCCGCGCAGACATCGGCTCCCCACCGTCCGGCGGTGTTGGGTCCTCGCTTTGAAGCAGAATTGCCCCGCGTTTTCTTTCCCCTTCCCCCCCCCTCCTTCTCCCAGTTTTCTTCCTCCTCTCCTCCTCCTCCTCGTTTTCCTCCTCCTCCTACCTCCTCCTCCTCCTCCTCCTCCTCCCCCTCCTTTTCCTCTCCTCCTCCTTCTCCTCTTCCTCCTCCTAACCATTTCCTCCTGCTCCTCCTCCTCCTAGTCCTCCTCCTCCTCCCTCCAGTCAGGGGCGGTTCTAGAATCCTCTTCCGACCAGACCCAACCGCACAACCGCACAGCCGACTGCACCAGGGTCCCACTCGATCCCAGAGGCCAGGGGGCGAGGAGGGAGGCCGTCGCAGCTGCCATGGTAGGACCGACCCTGACAGGGACCGCCCGCTGCTAACGTTAGGGACATAATGACGATTGTAGCATGCAACCCGCATTGTGCAGGGGGATCGGAACGACATGGGGATAGAAGCGTGGCGATGAGGACTTTGGGACGTTGTGAGATTGAGTCGCACAGACGAAATAGGCAGGACCCGAGCCAGTAAAGAAGGAAACGTACTACAACACTTGGTCCTGAGATTTGGAGGAAAGCCAGGGACATTGATCACAAGAGTGTTTGGGAGCATCATATTCCAAAGCGATGCCCACTTGAGTGTGTGAGGCGCACATATTCCCAACCGATGCAGATACAGGGTAAAGCGGCGGGCATACTATACAGACGACGCGTATAGTTACGGCATTGTTTGATGCGTAGTTGGCACCTGTTTATTACCAACGAGACGAAACATTAGCATGCCGTGTGTTTCACTGGATAGGGCACGTCGCAAGAGAAATTAACACGGACTCTGGGCTGCACAGATCAGATGACGGCACGAAAGAGCACAGAGCAGAGCGACACATAGGCACATGCGACCCGACCATAAAGAACGGCAGCGGTTGCGAAGTGAGGCAGTTTTGCGAGATACGCGAAACGGGTGAGGCTACAACGCTTCTTTCTACTGGTCCTCCTTGTTCCAGCCCGCAAGGGAACGACAACTAGCACCCACAGGAGCCATCGAGATGGTGCAGAACTTCACACGACCCCCCGCACCATAGGCAAACGACTCCAGCTCATCAAGCACAGGTGGCACAGAGATCACGTCCCTGTCTCCGACCGCCACCGTAGGTCCACGCTTCCACCCAAGCGTCCGCAGAGACGAGAAGGGGGGTGCACGTCGACAGGACGATGAGTTGCCTACGGAAGAGGGAAGGGAAGATTGCGCTTCTGAGACTTGTTGGGGGAGGAGATGGAGGATATGAAGGGGGTAGGAGATGCGAGATGGGCGGAGGCGATCCAGAGCACCACTCCAGGTCTCGCGTGGGAGCTCTACGGAGAAGCCGCTCGCAGAGCGTTCAGAGGCGCATTTGGTCAGTCAAAAGAGCTCTTGGGCGAAGATGGCAAGCTTGTACGAGACAAGAGTTTTGAGCTGTTGGCACAACGGAGGGAGCTGACGGGACCCCTCGAAGTAGAAAGTAGCGAGGAGCAGTACAACAGACTGGTGGCATATCCTGCAGATGTGACGACGTTGCTCAAAGAGAATGAGGGATGAGCAGCTAAAGCTGGGCAAAGCTGGTGCAAAATAGTTGAGAATCTTACGACGCATCCAATTTTGTGGAGATGCACCAGCTCTGGAATGCCTACAATATGAACGTACGACGGCCAACTATAAATATCATTGCTCCCCGATGACAGATCGGACGGAGGAGAAATGCTTGTAATACCCCGGCAAACGTCCGCATGTGGAGGGCTCGGAGGAGCCGGCATCTGCATTGCGACAGCACGGTGAGCTCACGAATGTGCGTTTGCCAACCAGCTACCTCTACCAATGGTGGGCATATCCTGCATGCTGTAGAAAGGGGCAAGAAGGCCATGAACAGATATTGCAGTAGAGCGAAGAGGAGAAGGGCCTGGTGCTTGCATGGGTTCTCCGGATAGACTGCGAGATCCCGACGCAAGCATGCGATATACTCGAGAAGAGAGCGATGGCGAGCGCAGTGGAGGAGGATGAGGAGGAGCTTGCGAGGCACACCACGATGTTCAACATTGAGGAAGTGTAGGGAGATGTTGCTGCAGCTGGGGTGGTCTAGTCGTGCAGCCACGCCATGTTGACAGGGAGGGGCATGCAGGGTTCGGGGCGGCTCGATCATGCAGCGGGGGCAGCAGTGCGAGCTTCAAAAGAAGATGAATCACCTACTGCGGTTGCGCCGTACCACCCAGACCATGTCCCTATATTTGCATAGGAGTATAGCATCCGACGCAGAAGAGCGCAACTACAAGAAGGGCATTGCAGGAAAATGAACCATGCGTGCTTACCACAGCTCCGGGATGAGCTTGCATTCAGGGAATCCTACCAGAGGCCCCAGAGCAATGCGCACACCTTGGGCGCATGAGGGACTGGGGCGCAGAAGCGGAGAACATCGCCATATTGTGTGCGGAAGCAGCGCAATGGAGAGCAACCGAAGCAGGACACAGCACGACACGCTCCAACTACGACTGCGCCAACGCATCCGCATCCACGGGCAGGCGATCACGACTGGCAGTCGCAAGCCGTTGCGAGGGGGGCCATTAAACATGTTATGGGCGCGGCGCAGGAGGCCACGGCGGATGGTGCGCGGACGTGGTTTACACTGGCCCCGCGGCAATTCAACGACTGCCACGGCGCGCGCGCGGCACAGGGGCGCGAGGGCGAGAGATGGGACATGGCACAAACCCTGCACGACACCGAAAACCCAACCGCCGCAAGGCAGCCGGTGCCTGGGCCCACATAAAGCGAACCACCTGATCAACATCAGAAGGCAAGGTCGCTGCGGCGCCGCGAGACGAGTGCGCGGCAGGAAATAACCTCAAAGGCGCAGCGACGAGAGGGGCGCGAGTCTGCCGAAAGAGCCTGGCTTCGGATGGGGGGGCCCGCGGAGGGGTCGAGGCCCGGGGCAACCGAGCTCGCGCGGAGACAGGGGGGCGCTTTCTGGGGCAGCAAGACACCGAATCACATTGAACACATGCGTTCGCGTCCTTGCCCATGGGGGCCGCGCCGCAAGGGTTGACAGCCATCGTTCTCCCGCAGAAGTTGACGGATGATCTCTGGATGCGATTCTTGCAATGGGGGGCGCGGGCTGGGCGAGGGAGGGCGGCGGCGTCAGATGTGATCCATGGGGGTGGGGGTCGGAACGGGCGGCTGTGGCTTTTCGAGCGCAGCGGATCAGACGGCGCATCTGGCGGGCCCAATTCCCGAGAGACCACGCGGCTCTAATTGCCGCAGCATTCAGCGGTTCAGTATCAGACAGGGCGGGGGGGGGGGCGCGCAGGGCGAGGGAGGGGTGGACTACGGAAGACAGCGCGCCTCGGGCGCAGCAGTTCAGAGCGGGCGTAGATGCCCCAGCTTCAGTCAGCGAGGATTTCGGAGAATGGCACCACTCCAGAGCGAGGCAATTTCACCACGGCCGACACCGCATTGCGCAGCGCAGCAAAGCGCCGGAACAAGATGGCAGGAACGGCGGAAGAGGGGGGCAGCGGAGGCGGATCAGCGCGATGGTGCGACGTTGCGAACGCGGCGGTCGGGGGCGCGGGGGCGCGCGGCAAAAAGATTTGAGACGGCGCGGGCCCCAGCGGGGCGCGGAGGGGGAGCGTGCAATGGCGGGCCTCTGGTGGCTGCGGGTGTAGCTGCAAGCCAGTGCCCGCGGCGCCTTGGTGCATTTAGCAGCGGGCGCGCGGCCATTGACCGCGCCGCGAGGTCATCGGGCATGTTCGGGGCCTGCCGCGTCGATCGCAGCAAGTGGCGGCGCCCGGCGATCGCAGCCTGACCTGCAAGGCCCGCCCGCATCAGGCCCCGCGCGCGCTCGCATCGCGCTGGGTCCCGCTAGGTTCGATTGGCAGCGGGGTCGAAGAGAGAGCGCGCCGGCGGAATGGCGCTCGGGCCGGGGGGCCGAGAAAGGAGAAGGCGGAGGGGCGAAAGGTCGCGGCGAGAAGATCGCGGGAAGCTGGGCGCGGGGCCAGGGGGGGAAACGGGCGGGGGAGGGGGGGGGGGGGGGGCGCAGCACGACTGGATCAGGCAGACCAGCTGGCGGCGCCGCGCAACCCGGCACTGCGGGCCAGCCGGGGGGCGAGAGAGTTGCTCCGCATCGACGCCATAATCATGCAAACCCACGTGATCCAGCCGCCGCTGCTCAAGCGGGCGATCGACCGCGGCTCGCAGGCGCTGTGCGGGGAGAAAGCGAACGGCAGCGGCCCCGTGGCGGAGCTGGGGGCCCGCGAGAGGAGCCTCGAGCAGCTCCAGCGCCGCGGGGAGGGGGGGGCCTACAGGCCTCCAACAGTTCCGCCGGAGACCCCATAGGCATTGAGACTGTCCGCTACAAGCCCCCCACCTGGCCAGGGGCAGAATGGAAGGGCGCAGGGCCGGCCCCGTCGCGCCCGCCTGTGCGCGACGAAGGGAAGAAAGCAGGGGATATCTGCCGAGACCCGCGCAGATTCTCTAGGCCAAAGCAAATGGCGCAGCAAAGACCAGTCACGCGCGGCAGCGCGCAGCAATTTCATGACTGCGCCGCGTGCTCTCGAGCCAGGGGGCAGCGCGCATTAGACCCCCTGCCAGACTGCGCGGGCGCAGGGGGCCTGGGGAAACAGCGGCGGCGACCTCCCAGCCGGGGGCTGCTGCGACGACCGCGACAGCAGGAATTTACACAGTGTGGGGGGGGGGGGCATGTACAACGAAGGTATTATTCGTACGCTGCATGATCTTAATATTCTCTTGCCTCCGGGATGGACGGGGGCAGGCAGAAAGTGCCGCGCGAGGCGCCGGATGGAAAAATCAGACAGGGGGGTCCGCGTCGTGCCGGGAGATATGAGAATTACGAGACGCTTCGCGACTGCGCGGCCTGCTGACGGGTCAGCATCACCACGAGCGCCAAATTGGAAGGGCGCTGGCCAATTACACGGCGCGGGGCCCAACAGAGGCAGCGAGGACATTTAGCTAGAGCTCCATTGGCCTCGAGAGACCTTGGGGGCCCTGCTGCGACCGACTCCAGCTGCGACTTGCCTGCCCACAGCTAAAACGGGAGAGTGCTCATTACTATTCGTATCGTCATTTATTCAACTATTGTCACTACCTGCGACGATTTAAGCAAAAAGGCAGCAAAAACAACATAAGCCCAGAAGTATAGTATGCGAAGCGGTCAGGCTTTCGCCAAGCGCATCGGCACTCGCACCCCAGCTGATCAAGCACCGCGCGCACGCCGGCATCCCTTTTCGCCCGACGGGGAGACGGATGGCCCGGCCGAGCCTGCCCAGCCTGGCACAGCAAGTGGCGCGCCGCGGAAGGTGCGAGCAGCGGGAGATTGGCGACTTCGTGTGCGCGATGAAGACTGCGACCAGAAACCTCCGACACGCCGAAGGTTACATGGGCGACGTGTTCTACGCGCTCGATGACGAGATGGAGAAGTTGCGCTCGATGAAGGGTGCGTCGGAGGTAAGCATCGCGAGGGCCGCGCCGAGCGAAGCGAACGACGACGCGGAGAGGATGGCCAAACAGGAGACGGAGTTGATGATGCAGAACATGACAACAACATCGGGCAGAGCATGCAGTTGATGGAAGCGCAGTTCTTGCTGAACATGGGCAGCCACATGCCCGAGACGCAGCCGAACTGCAAGGAGTACTTTGCAAGGACTACTTTAAGCGCCAGTCCGACGAGATCGTGAATCACGATTTCTTCTGAAAAACACCATGTTCATGAACGATAATAACCATCGCACGCAAAAGAAGGACGACGACGACAAACCCGACATGTACGACCCGAAGGCGCGGAAACAGATTGGCTGGAAGGGGCGCGACCCCACCACGTGGATCGAGATAGAGGAGAACGACCCGACGACGTGGGAGACGCTTGGCTGGATCGACAAGGCAGCGTGGAACGACCCAAGCAAGTGGCATAATATGGGTTGGATCGAGAATGACAAGCTCGACACCGACATTCCAAAGGTGTGGAAGCAGCTAGGCTGGCGCGAAACATCCAGGGTGATCACCCAGGCGATCTCACAGGCGAGGGCCCCGGCGAAAAGCATCGCGCACGACAGGGGGGCGGAAAAGGGGGGGGGGAGGAGGAGAAGCAGGGAGCCAGCAGCAGCAGCAGCAGCAGCAGCAGCAGCAGCGACACGGCTGCTTCCTCGTTGGCGAGGGCTGTGCGCTCCCACCCCTCACGGCAAGAAGGTTTCTCGTTGTCCCGACTCCAGGTTCCGATCCAGGCTCCAGCACAGGCTCCGACCCCGGGGCGCAGGCCGCAGCGACAACATATGCAAACCCAAGGGCTCCGACATTGGGAACACTGAAATGGGCTGTGATGATACAATATAGCGGTGTGGATGCGCTGATACGAGATGGGTAGAGTAGATCGGCAGGTCAACCACAACCAACAACACAAACGGCGACGAGACTACAATACCACTGGTGATGCCCTGACACGAGATGGGTAGAGTAGAGTAGATGACCACAAACATCAGCGCAATCGGTGGGCAGCATCGGGCCACAGTGCCAGTGCAGCATAGAAGCGCTCGCGCCCAATAACTTGAAACCTCTTGATTTGTACGCATTGGCCTCTGATGTGGGGGACACGAGCCCTCCCCCCCTGTGCGCCTCGTGCCGCCGCCGCCCCATCCTCCTCCTCCCCCTTGCTGTCGGCACTCAGGCCCCCTCGCCTGCAGTGGCAGGCCAAGGATGGTCCCCCGCCCGTTTTTTTTCTTTATCTCAGAAGTGGTGCGCCACCCCCGCTGGAGCGGCAGCGGCTCGGGACCCTAACGGCCTCCAGCCGCTCCCGCGAGCAAGCCCCAAGGAGGGCCCTGCCTACATTTTTCGTGCGCGCACCCTGCTTCGGCCGCTGGTGCTGCCGCCGCCGGCGTCACCCTCCGAGCGCCTTGTCATGGTTCTCCTCCTCCTCCTCCTCCTCCTCCTCCTCCTCCTCCTCCTCCTCCTCCTCCTCCTCCTCTATTCCTTTTCCTTGAGGATAATTCACCCCTGTCGCACCCCGAGGCCAGCTCTGATGGCGGACCGGGCGTTTCGCATGAGATCTCCTCCCCACTTATGACCCTGAAGCTTGAAGATTGGCAACAGCTGCACAGATGGAGGGTGGGTGGTTTTCAAAATGTGGCTCTCGCCTTAACCCCGTGCACATTCGTTCTAAAATGCAAGAGCTTCGCGGATTGAGAGTGGTTTCTTTTCAATCATTGATTCTCGTTTCAGCGCTGCTCACATTCGTTTTCAAAATGTTGCAAAAATTGCACGGGTTGCGGGTGGTCTATTTTCAAGGTGTGGTTCTCGCCTTAGCCCCGCGCGCGTTCGTTTTAAAAATGTTGCAAGAGCTTCACATGTTAAGGGCGGGTGGTTTTCAAAATGTGGCTCTCGCCTTGGCACCGCGTACATTCGTTCTACAAACTTGCAAGAGCTTCACGGATTGAGGGCGGTTCCTTTTCGAAATGTGGTTTTCGCCTTAGCGCCGCGCATATTATTGTATAACATCTGCAAGAGTTTCACGCATTCCCATGATCAACGTACCAGTAATGGTGTTTCGAAGAGATTCAGGAATATGCGGGCGCAACAGTTACGTTGATTCGCGGTGTTGGAGTCCCAGGAATGGTTGTCTGGCACGGTTCAGTCTCGTCAAGACGCAACAGTCAGGTTGATCCGTGGCGTTGGAATACCGAAACCAATGTTTTGGCATGTTTCAGAATATTCAAACGGTTGTCTTACGACGAGACAGTTCCTTCAGTGGAGATGAACCGTTGTAGGAACCGATGAAGAGGGAGCTTCGAGGGATCCAACATCGTTGATGACTCTTGGGTTTACAATGGTCCTCCTCCTCCTCCTCCTCTTCCTCCTCTTCCTCTTCCTCCTCCTCCTCCTCCTCCTCCTCCTCTCGCTCGTCCCTCCTCCTCCTTCTCCTCCTCTTCCTCCTCCTCCCCCTCCTCCTGGTTGGCTTTCTGCGTCCTCCTCCTCCTTCTCCTCCGCCTCCTCCTTCTCCTCCTCCCGTTTCTCCTCCTCGTCCTGGTCCTTCGTCCTTCCTTCTCCTCCCCCTTCTCAGTCGAAAACCCCTCGCACGTTTCGTGGCCCCATAAAGGAGCTCCAGCGAAGGCCCCAGCGAGCATGTTCGCATGCCGTCTCCCCGTCCATTTCGGCACACCCTTAAGCGCTACGTGGCCCCATACGCAACTCCACCGAAGCCCCGCATGACAGCAGTGCACATGGCCTTCCTCCACCCGTGTCGGCAGACCCTCACGCGCTCCGTGGCCCCATAAAGTGCTCCGCAGAAGATCAGAGTGGCACA